ATGGGGCAACAAAAAGACCGCGAATTGCTAAAGCAATCCTGAGCAAGAAAAAACAAAGCCGGCGGAATCACAATCCCCGATTTCAAAATGTACTACAAAGCTACAGTGATCAAAACAGCATGGTACTGGTACAAAAACAGGTCCACAGATCAATGGAACAGAATTGAAAGCCCAGAGATAAACCCACACATCTATGGACAGCTAATCTTCGATAAAGGAGCAGAGGGCCTACAATGGAGAAAAGAAAGTCTCTTCAACAAATGGTGCTGGGAAAACTGGACAGCCACATGCAAAAGATTGAAAATTGACCAGTCTTTTTCACCACACACCAAAATAAACTCAAAATGGATCAAAGACCTAAAGATTAGGCCTGAGACAATAAGTCTTTTGGAAGAAAATATAGGCAGTACACTCTTTGACATCAGTTTCAAAAGAATCTTTTCGGACACTGTAACTCCTCAGTTGAGGGAAACAATAGAAAGAATAAACAAATGGGACTTCATCAGACTAAAGAGCTTCTTCAAGGCAAGGGAAAACAGGATTGAAACAAAAAAACAGCTCACTAATTGGGAAAAAATATTTACAAGCCACTTATCCGACAAAGGGTTAATCTCCATAATATACAAAGAACTCACACTGCTTAACAACAAAAAAACAAACAACCCGATCAAAAAATGGGCAGAGGACATGAACAGACATTTCTCAAAAGAAGATATGAATATGGCCAATAGACACATGAAAAGATGTTCATCATCGTTAATCATCAGGGAAATGCAAATCAAAACTACACTAAGATATCACCTTACACCCGTTAGATTGGCAAAAACATCCAAAACCAAGAGTGACAAATGTTGGAGAGGTTGTGGAGAAAGAGGAACCCTCATACACTGTTGGTGGGAATGCAAACTGGTACAGCCACTATGGAAAACAGTATGGAGACTTCTCAAAAAGTTAAAAATAGAAATACCCTATGACCCAGCCATCCCATTACTGGGTATCTATCCTAAGAACCTGATATCAGAAATCTCAAGAGTCCGTTGCACCCCTATGTTCATCGCAGCATTATTTACAATAGCCAAGACGTGGAACCAGCCTACATGCCCAGAAACTGATGATTGGATAAAGAAGATGTGGTATATATACACAATGGAATACTACTCAGCCACAAAAAAAGACAAAATTGGCCCATTCACAACAACGTGGATGGACCTCGAGGGTATTATGTTAAGCGAAATAAGCCAGTCAGAGAAAGACGAACTCTATATGACTCCACTCATAGGTGGAAGTTAGTATATTGATAAGGAGATCTGATCGGTGGTTACCAGGGAAAAGGGGGGGTGGGGGGAGGGCACAGAGGGGGAAGTGGTGTACCCACAACATGACTAACAAAAATGTACAACTGAAATCTCACAAGGTTGTAATCTATCATAACATTAATAAAAAAAAAAATGCTTTCTCTCAAACATGTATATTGTCTACATATTCCTTTAGGTTTCTTTCTAATGGACTTTCTTTAAAGTTAACTCTTTTTTTTTTCTACAGGGGAAGATTGGCTCTAAGCTAACATCTGTTGTCAATCTTCCTCCTTTTTTCCCTCCCAAAGCCCTAGTACATAGCTGTGTATAGTTGTAAGTTCTTCTGGTTCTTCTATGTGAGCTGCTGCCACAGCACGGCTACTGGCAAGGTGATGTGGTTCCACGTCCAGGAACTGAACCTGGGCTGCTGAAGCAGAGCATGCTGAGCTTTAACCATTAGGCCATCAGGGCTGGCTTTAAAATTAACTTTGTTTTGAGATAATTATAGATTCACATGAAGCTGTTAAGTAATAATACAGAAAGATCCTTGAATCCTTCACCCAGTTTCCCCTAATGGTAACATCTTTCGTAACTATAGCACAGTATCAGAGCCAGGAAATTGAGATTGATACAATGTTCCAATCTTACTCACTTTTCTCCAGTTTTACAGGCATGTGTGTGTATTTAGTTTTATGCAATTTATCACAAATGTAGATTCATGTAATCACCACCATAGTTGAGATACAGAATAGTTTGATCACAAGGATCCCTGTGCTGCCCTTTTATAATCACATCCATATCCCACCTACCCCACTCCCCCGCCATGCTGTCCATAACTCCTGGCAACTACTAATAGAATCTCCATCTGTGTAATTTTGTTATTTCAAGAGTGTTACATAAATTAAATCATACAGTATGTAATCTTTGGAGATTGGCTTTATTTATAGAGCAAAATTCCCTGGAGATTCATCCAAGTTGTTGTGTGTATCAATAGTTCCTTGCTTTTTATGCTAAGTAGTATTCCACGGTATGGATGTTCCACAGTTTATTTAACCATTCACTCACTGAAGGTCATCTGGACTTTTCTAATTTTTTTTTTTTTTTTGAGGAAGATTAGCCTTGAGCTATCATCTGCCACCAATCCTCCTCTTTTTGTTGAGGAAGACTGGCCCTGAGCTAACATCCATCCCATGTTCCTCTGCTTTATATATAGGATGCCTGCCACAGCATGGCTTGACAAGCGGTGCATAGGTCCACAGGCAGGATCCAAACTTGCCAACCCTGGGCTGCTGCTGAAGTGGAACATGCAAACTTAATCACTGTGCCACCAGGCTGGCCCCTGGACTGTTTCCAATTTTGACTATTATGAGTAGTTGAAATGATACAATAGTGATGAACATTTGTGTACTGGGTGTTGTATGAACATAATTTCTCTGGGATAAATGTCCAGGATGCAATTGCTGAATCATATAGAAGTTGCATGTTTAGTTTTATAAGAAACTGCCAAGTTGTTTTCCAGAGTAGTTGTGTCATTTAATATTTTCCCCAGCAATGTAGGAATGATCCAAATTCTTTACATTCTCACCAGCATTTGGTGTGGTCACAACTTTTGAATTTAGCCATGCTGGTAGGTGTGTAGTGATAGCTCATTGTAGTTTTACTTTGCATTTCCCTAATGCCCAATGATGTGGAACATTTTTTTCATGTGCTTATTTGCGTCTGTAGATCCCCTTTGGTGACATGATTGGTCAGATCTTTTGCCCATTTTTTAGCTGGATTATTTGTAGGGTTTTTGTTGGTTTTGTTTTTTTACTGTTGAGTCTTGAGGGTTCTTTAGATATTCTAGATACTAGTCTTTTGTTGGATTTGTGGTTTGAAAATGTTTTCTCCCAGTTTTTGGCTTTTCTTTTTATCCTCTTCAAGGGTCTTTCACAGAGCAAAAGTTTTTATTTTGAAGAAGTCCAATTCATCAAATTTTCCTTTTATGGATTGTGCTTTTGCTCTTAAGTTTAAGAACACTTTACCTAGCCATAGATCCTGAAGATTTTCTCCTATCACAGTGCCCAAAGTCAAGGGTCCAGAATAAAGGGGCTGTGAATTGGCAACACCTGTCCAGAGGAAGCCAGCACTGTGAACCAGGGGAAGGTAGCAGAAAGGGCTGATATAAAATGGAGAAATACACCAAGGAAGACATTTTCAGTGGTTATACATATATATAATATATATTAAAAATTATATATATATGTAATGTGTGTATGTACATGTGTATGTGGGTATACATGTGTTTGTGTGTATGTACATGTGTGTAAGTACATGTCTGTGTGTGTATGCGCACATGTGCCTAGGGGGAGGGAAGTGGAGGAAGGGAGATGAACACAACAGTAGCAGGGGCCTGGAAGGAACAAGAACAGTAGGAGGAGACAGGTAGGGTGGGTCTACTTCTGAGGAAGTGGCCCTGTCTGAGGTGGAGCTGCAGAGAGTGGTTGGAGCCCATGGATTTTACAGAGAGAAGTTTTAAAGGCTGCCAAGAATGTGCACATGAGGTAAAAATACAGGAAGGGAGTGTGGCCTGGAGCTCCAGGCCAGTCAGAGGGTGGGCTGAGCCTTCCTATGGTGTCCACAAGTGCAGAGAGGGAGGAAAAGACAGGGCTCTGAGACTAGGGAGGGGAAAAAGAAAGAGAAACTAGGTTTGTTATGGGAAGTTGGGCTGTGGTTTCATATTTGGAAGTGCCTGTGTGTGATGTGTGTTAAGTGTTGGGTTTGGTAACAGGTTGAGGAAGAACTAGAAATTTGCAACTTCTGTAAAGTCTTTTGTTCCCTATTAAAAACCCTCTGTGCATATCAAATGAGATTAATCCATGAATTCATGTAATAAACACTGAGCTGCTACCAAGTCCTGGGCAATGTTGTTTGCACTGGAGATACAAACAGTGAACAAATGAGGTGAGTGAATGGACTCAGGGAGTCAGAGGCATGATAGAAAGGGAAAGAGAAAGTATGAAGGAGGAGGGAGTGGGCGAGTGGATGACAGAGGCAGAACAGGCTTTTCTCTGCAGTGGATGATGTGAGGTTTTCAGTATTCTTGTCACCTGCCAGGGGAGGCTTGTCCAGCTCCCACCCTCCAGCCACCTGGCCTGAGAAGCAGCTTTGAAGCATATGTTCTCCACTCTCCTCCTGCTTGGAGCCCTCCCCTCTTTCCTTCCTTCCTCTTCCTCTCCCCAGGTCTTCCTTCACCCTAGAGCTTGGGAGGACCAAGGCTGGAGCAGACAGTGACTGTGGCTTTCTTCTCTTGTTTCCATCTTTTCTTCCTTGCCTTTGGACCCAATTCAAAAAACAAAGATGAATAGAAACCTACTCTGGGCCTGGAATCATGCAGGAGATATAAGATGAGCGACTTTGTGACTAAAGGCAATTCTCCAGCAAGGGGGCATCTAGGAGCCATTAGCAGCCGATACACATAGCAGCTGGGCAAGGGGAGTGCCCGCTAGTGAAGGGGATCTATGTGAGGCACCAACAGCACCCATAAGAGCAAGGAAGTGGAATAGCAGATAATCTCACCCCCTGCTCGAAGGAGTGCAAATTGGTATGACTTTGGAGAGCAATTTGGTAATATCTGATAGAGTGGAAGACGCACATGCCCTATAACCAGCAATTCCACTTCCAGCCATAAACCCTAGAGAAACGTTTGCACGTCCACAAGGAGATGAGTACAAGAATGTTTGTTGCAGCATAGCTTGAAATAGCAAAAATTAAAAAAAAATGAAATGTCCATCTCACAAGAAGTTGGATACAGTCACACAATGTAGTAGGTAAAATGAAGAAGAGTTATAAGTATCATCAGAATGAAAAAACATGCTACAGAATGATATGTATAATGTTGGTATTTATATAGTTTAAAAACATGCAAAATAATATGATGTAGTATTTACACATGTATATATATGTGTGTATATATATATATGCTTGGGAACGCTAATACTCAGTGTGAGAGTCAATATAGGGTAGAGGGACTTGCAGCCAGATTGCTTGGATATGCGTCCTAGTTCCATCTCTTGCTAGTTATGTAATCTTGGAAAAGTTAATTAACCTCTGCAGGTCTCCCTTTTATGTGTAAAATGATAAATAATTGTTTTAGTGAGCAATTGCTGCTCTAATGCTGTGTAACAAACAACCCCTCAGCCCCGTGCTTTACAAGCATAAATATTTATTTTTCATTCATAAGTCTATCAGTTGGCTATGGCTCTGCTGGGCTTGGCTCTAGGCTGTGGCTTGGGTTCAGGTCTGCTCCACTAGTCTCCCCCAGCAACTATCCAGGATGTGTTCTTTCCATGGCAAAGGTCACAAGCAGAAGAGAGGCAACTGAAAACACATGATGCCTTGTTAAGTCTTTGGCTCGGAACTGGCGTGTTGTTTCCACCCACATTCTGTTCGCCAGAGCAAGTCACAAGGCTGAAATGAGTGGTGTGGGGGAAGCTCACTCCACCCACAGAGAAGCAGAGCAAAGACACAGGGAGAAGGAAGAACTGTGAGCAAATAATAGCACAGTGGTGCCTACTCCCTGCAGTTGTTTGGAGGATTAAATAAGTTAATATACATAAAGGGCTTAGGGCAAGGCCTGGCAAATAGTAGGAGCTATATTTTTATTAATCAGGAGAACAACAAACTCTGGGAGAAAGGAGGGATTTAACTCTGTCAAATTTCCTTCCTTTTTTTTTTAGAGATAATAAATAAAAAGAGGGAAAGTGTTTGTTTTCAGGAGATAGCTTTTGAGATGGGTAGGAAGTGGCTAGTTCCAGAGGGCGTTGTTGGGGAGGGACAGACATTCCCAGCGGGTGGACGTGTGAAGTCTTGGGAGTGAACGAACTTATTCTGGGCGAGAGTCTTGCAGAGAGAGGAGGGCTGCAGACAGGACCTCAGAGAGCACTGGCATTTAGGCAACAGAAGGATGAAAGACTCGATTGTAGACTCCAGGAGGCAGCGACTGTGTGGTCTTGCTCATCTCAGGTTTCCCAGCATCGTGCCTGGCGTGTGATAAATGCTCCTGAGGTGCGTGGGGAAGGAAGGAAGAAGCAGTGAAGGAGACAGAGGTCAGAGAGAATCAAAGAAAACTGAGGGACAATCACCCTGAAAGCTGGAGGAGGAGATTGTTAAAGGGGGGTGGACAGCTACCTTGTGAACTGGTCTGCATTGGCCACTCTCCCACTCTGGATCCAGCCTTGCTGTCTGGGTGTGGCGTTCCAGGATAGATGGGACAGACTCTATTTCATTTGGTAGGTTTTGCCTCAGCTCCAGCTTCCAAGCAGCAGGAGCTGAAAGGCCCTGTCCCCTCGTGTCCATCTGTCTATCTCTTCATTCCACCACCCCCTTCTCTCCCTTTTCCCCTTGGCTTCAGTGGACTCCTTCGTCATGTCTCCTCTCCAGCATCCCTCCTCCTCAGGTCCCCACTGCGAGGAGGAACGTGCAGAGGCCCAGATGGGAAGGAGGCCTGGGACAGCTGAGGCTCTCTGGGACCTGGACCTCTTTGTTGCTCCTGCTTTGGCCTGAAAAGCTCCCCTGAGCCTTCAGGAAGGGCATGCAGCCAAAGGCCCATCGAGAAGGTAGACTCATTTCCTTATAAATTATGTGGTTATGAGGGCGGGAGTTTCACATGTGGCTTTTTGCATAATCGGGTTATCAGGTAGTTAGCCCATTAGAGGGCTCATAAATTGTCCAGCTGCTCTGACTCACAGCATGAGGCACCTGTGTGGTGAGCCAGAGGGATGGAGCTCTCAGGAGGAACCTGTTTGGTGGCCTGCCTATGTGGTGTCAGGTGGAGATACATTTTGCATCCTAAGTGTCACAAAAACCTGAGCTTTAGAATCAGTCTGAGTTCAAGTCTTGGCCCCACCACTTGCTGGCTGTGTGACGTTGGGCAAGTAACTAACCCTCCCTGAGCCTTTGTTTCTGTGTTAAGGCAATGTTGATGGTTTTAAGGTGGAGGATTGGCCTGGGAAGTCCAGCTGGCTGCTCCAACAGATCCCTGAGGAGGTCAGTGCGTGGGTGTGGCCACCAATTCCTGGAATCCAATCCTTGGATTTCCCTCAGCAGTGTAGTGCTTGGCACTTTGACAAACTGTTGGGCAGGATCTGCTAAACTCGCTGTACTGGTTTCCTAGGACTGCAGTAACGAAGTGCCACAAACGAGGTAGCTTAAAACAACAGGAATTTATTCTCGCACAGTTCTGGAAGCTAGAAGTCAGAAATGAGGGTGTCAGCAGGGCCATGCTCTCTCCAAGGCTCGAGGATGTGTCCTCCTGGGGGGGTCACCATTGCCCCCTATCTAAGGGGCTCACTTTTCTGTGGAGGCTGGGGGCAGAGCACAATAACACATTTGTCAGTCCTAATGATATCGGGAGCCCTCACTGCAGGAAGAAAGGGGGGAACATTATGGAGCCTAAGCTAATTGGGAAGGATATTTGGGGGTCCTCACATCCTCTCCTGGCCCCTTAAGATGGCCCTGGATCCTCAGCATCCTGGTGTGCTCCCCAGGAGTGGGCAGGAGCAGTGAGCTCTGCCAAGTGCTGCCCCTTCTGGATCTCCCTCTCCCTGTCCCAGGGGCTCGCCACTCCGCCATGTCCCACCACCTTAGACAGGGCTGGTGGGGACTGGTGGGAGATGCCTGAGGAGCGGGGTGCCTGCCTGAAGGGGCTGCTTGAGGAGCTGACTTAGCGGATGCCAGGCAGGCTGGGAGAGTGGGGCTGTCTCGATTCCCAAGAATTCAGCTTCAGAACAAGTGGGGATTAAGAGTGTCATGAACTTGGTGCATGGGGACATGCCCCTGGGACAATGCCACTGAGCTGACCTCCTCCTTTCCTTTCTGTATTAGTCAGAGTTCTCCAGATAAACAGAACCAATAGGATATGTGTGTGTGTGTGTGTGTGTGTGTGAGAGAGAGAGAGAGAGAGAGAGAGAGAGATTTATTTTAAGGAATCAGCTCATACAGTTATGGAGGCTGGTAAGTTCAAAATCTATAGAGTGGCTCACCAGGCTGCAGTTAAAGTCCAAAGGCTATTGGCTGGCATAATTTCCTCTTACTCAAAGGAGGGTCAACCTTTTGTTCTATTCAGGCCTTCACCTGATTGAATGAGGCCCATTCACATTATGGAGAGCAATCTGCTTTACTCAAAGCCCACTGATTTGAATGTTAATCGCATCCAAAAGCACCCTCACAGAAATATCCAGAATAATGTCTGACCAAATATCTGGGCACCCCATGACTCAGCTAAAGTGACACACAAAATTAACCTCTGTACTAAAATGACTTTAACCATCCACAGGAATGGTAGCTCCCAGTCATTGAGGACTTACCTTGTGTTGGAGGCCTTGTGTGTACTTCCCAACACACCTGTATGGTAAGTGTTATGCTTGTTTCACAGATGTGTCAACTGGATCTTGCCCAACGTGACAGCCAATGTTGATGCCCCACCTAGATCTCTTTTTCCAGCCAGTGAGCTCTCCCCTAGGTGCTCCAGTGCTATATAGTTCAAAGCTTGCATCTGAGACCTTCTCTGGAGGATTGCCTGTGGCTGACACCCTTGTCCGGAACCTCTTGGGAACTTGCATCCCCTTTCCCTTCCCCTACCCCCTATTTTCTAGGTGTGGACGATGACTGATTGACACAGGGGGACAAAGCCTGGCCTGCCTACCTCAAGGGGGGACAACTCTGGACCATTCACCCCCCAGAGTTCCCCATGGGATCAGGCTGAGGTTAGACTCTGCTCAGACTCCATCCTTGTGGAGCATCTTCCCCGCCCTGTCCTGCTTCCCTCCTTCCCCTTCTCCTGAGATCATTTCCTCAGTAAACATGTGCTCAAGAATCCTCGTCTCAGGCTCTGATTCTAGAGTATGGGATGAGGAATTTAAAGCCGGGTCTAGCTGATTTCAAAGTTGGCCTGTTGAAACCCCGTGTTGTCCATAGCTGAGAGTGGTGAGCTGGCAGGTGTGAACGCATTCTTGGGGGAAGGGGGTCTTGGCTAAGGAGAGGAGAGAGTCCCAGCCTTTAGGAAGGTCTTGGTGGCTTTATTACTCCTTCCTTCACTTGCTCCCGCCTTGCTGCTGTCTCATTCCACAAAACATGGCAGCAGCAACAAGCTACTCAGTTAGGTACCTCCCCAGGGGCAGGGAGAGGCAAGTTGGTGGCTACACTTGTATGTGTAGGACTGTGGGTCTGTAAGTCCCATCCCCAAGGCTTCTCAGAGCGGAGAGTTAGTTACATCTTTCAGGAGCAGGAGGCCAGATGTGCTGCTACAGGAATGGACTCGAAGTCCTGAGCAGCTCTTTGAGAGAGAGCATGAGCTAAAACCCGGCAGGGAGGCTGCCTGGTGAGCAGGCTCCAGGCCTAGGCTGTGGTCCGAGGCCCCCATTTGCAGCCCCCTGCCTGTGGGAGTGTTGAGTCATCACCCTGGGAAGGCCTCTGTTGGATTTTTCCATAACTGGGAGGTTTAGAAATGCCCCAGTCACACCTGCTCCAGTTAGAATTTTGCCTCCAGCTTTCCCAGGAGGCACCCAGCCCTCTCAGAGACAGCTGCTTAATTAAGGACAGCAAATAAGTGAGAGCTGGTGCTCCCAGGTGGAGCTGAGGGAATCTGGACCCCCCAGAGGGTGGAGCCACCGCCTGGCAGAGGAATTGCTAGGGGTGGCTGTGGGATGGGGGAAGGGCTCCTTGCTGGCCCCCAAAGAGCCTTCTACTCCACCTGGCTGGAGACGCAACAGACCACAAAGGACATGGTGCCAGTAGGCAGAAGGCTTCTTATCATAACAAAAAGAAGAGTGCTGGGCTTTTTGGTTAAAAACCTTTACTACTGACTTCCCTATGAAAGGATATAGTGTGGGGGCTTCGGTGTCAGATAGACCTGATTACAAACCTCTGTGCTATCCTTGTAAATTCTGTCATGCTGGAAAAGTCACTTAATATTTCAGAACCTCAGTTTCCTCATCCAGAAAATGGGCAACCATGCTCAGCACGTAGGCTTGCTGTCTGGGATGTGGCAAGTCGGATGAAGAAGTAGCTCAGCAAGAGGCAGAGAGAACCTTGGTGGGCTAGGAATGCGAAAGAAAAAGGCAGGCAGCTTCACTATGAAGGAGCTAATTTACTTCTAGAGCCAGAGTGGTAGACGTAAGGCCACTGCTCACCCATTCCAATGCTCAAGGCAGACATCACTGATTATGTCTGCCTATTCTAAGCCCGGATAAAGTCTCTAGGAAGCTTCTATTGGTTAATCAGAGGTGGCAGTCGAGATGAAACCTATGTGTTATCCCTGACCTTATGTCAGGATGGCCTTGATAGCTACCATGGAGGAGTCTCTGAATATGTGAGGAGGGATTTAAAGGAGAGAAAGTTTGCCTTTTAGGTGTCTTCTAGCTTGAATGCCTCAGGATGGAGGCGGTTTCTGATTGAGCAGCCCAAAAGTTCCATCATTTTCAGGCAGCTTGAGCTATTGAGCAGAGGTCAGGCTTGGTGTGGACCTTCCAGATGACCACCAGCTTGGCAGGGCCGGCCTCACCAAAGATGAACTCTTAGGCTGCTTGCCCCCAGGAGCAGACCCTGAGACAAGGATTCCAGCGCAAGTAGCTTATGTGTGAATTGATCCCAAGACCTCTGGTAGGAGATTCAGAAAGTGAGACAGGAAAGAGAAGGAAGCCAATGTAAAGTGCATTTCAAAATAGGTTATCACTGTGGACGACTGGAGTTTAATCCTGCTGAGGAAGTCTGAGACAATGCAGAACACGCATCTGAGTTATGACATCTGAGGGGCAAGGGAGCTGAGGTTTTTATACACCAACTCCCATCAGTCATTTGTTGAGGGCTACTGGGGTAGGATGTTAACTCCCTGGTTACAGATGGTTAGAATGGGCCGGAGAAAGCTTTCAGGAAAAAGTCACAGGTACTGGCAGCTGGGAGTGGTAAAAGTCCAAAGCGGTATCTGCCATCCATGTGGTCCTCAAATCCGCAGGAGCCCAAGTGAGTCTGTTCACTGAAAATCAGAGCAGCCTAACTTTTGCCAGTGTGGGGTTCTCTTTAAAATGCCACACTGTGTCTCATTCTGCGCCACCCTTAGGGGCATAGAACACATAGTCCCTGTTCTGGACTATGTACAACCCTAATGATTAAAATATTAAACATTTATTTCATACTTACTATAGATCAGGTGCTCTGGTAATTGCTTTATAAGCATGGTCTAATTTAATTTTCATATCAACCCTGTGAAATAGGTGCTATTATTATCTCCAAAGTTCAAAGAGGTGAAGTAGCTTGCCCAAAGTCGCACAGACAGTGTAATGGACTGAATGTTTGTGTAACTCCAAAATTCATATGTTAAAACCCTGACCTTGGGGTCGGCCTGGTGGCGCAGTGCTTAAGTGTGCATGTTCTGCTTCTCGGCTGCCTGGGGTTCGCCGGTTCGGATCCCGGGTGCAGGCATGGCACCGCTTGGCAAAAGCCATGCTGTGGTAGGCATCCCATGTATAAAGTAGAGGAAGATGGGCACGGATGTTAGCTCAGGGCCAGTCTTCCTCAGCAAAAAGAGGAGGATTGGCAGCAGATGTTAGCTCAGGGCTAATCTTCCTTAGCAAAAAGAGGAGGATTGGCAGTAGACAGCTCAGGGCTAATCTTCCTCAAATAAATAAATAAATAAATAAATAAATAAATAAATAAATAAATAAATAAATAAATAAAATAAAACCCTGACTTCGTATGTAAAGGTGTTAAGAGGTGGGGTCTTTGGAAGGTAATTAGGTCATGAGGGTGGAGCCCTCATGGATGGGATTAGTGCCCTTATAAGAAGAGAAACAAGAGAAATTGCTTTCTCTATCTGCTCTCTGCTATGTGAGGATACAACAAGAAGACGGCCATCTGCAAACCAAGAAGCGGTTCACCAGACACTGAATCTGTCAGCACTTTGATCTTGGACTTACCAGCCTCCAGAACTGTGAGAAATAAACATATAACATTTGTTGTTTAAACTACCCTGTCTATGGTAATTTGTCATAACAGCCTAAACTAAGACAGATCATACCCAGACGTGTCTGCTGTCACTGCCCTCTCTCATAACCATCGCACACATTGCTAATTCATCACCAAACTCTTGCAGACAAGGCCTTGTAGGCCCTCTCAAGAGAATGAAAGCTCTAGTTAGTCCCTGTGACATAACAGGCGTAATCCCTGAATAATCTCCGAGAAGCACTTAGCATGAGACCTCGCACAAAGTAAGTGCACAATAGATGGAAGCTGTTAATATCATTACTGTTGCTTCTTAGAGATGACACCCAATGGCCAAACCTGCCCTGACCCTAAGAGAGAGAGGCTTTGGCAGATTCATTCCTCTGGGGCAGTGATAAAGAGCTGGAAGTAGAGAGAAAGAGCTGTGGAAACATAGAAGTTGGGGTAATTTGGGAGGGGGCTAGTTTTGGAGTGTGGGGTTCTACCAGGAGGGGGCCCTGAGTGATGTGAGTCAGGAGTGTTGGTGGGAGCTTGGTGCCCAGGAGAAGCCAGTAAGGGAGGAGAGAGGGTGAGAGTTGCTAAAATTGTCCCCTGTTTCTCATCCTCTGCTGGTGGGTCCTTGTCACCAGAAAGGGCATGTTTAGCCTCACACTCCTCCTCATTTGACCTTTCTGCCTCATCTTTCCTTCTGGTCCCCACTCAGGATCAGAGATGAGGACTGACCTCCAGGGCTCCCAGCACCTTGTCCCCATGTTTCACTCTGGTCTGGACTGTCGTGGGGAGGGGCTCCTGTAGAAAAAAGAGTCAGAGGCTATCCTCAAAGCAGCCAGTGAGTGGTTGAGGAATTTGCTTGAAAACCTGCGGTTTGGCAGATTCTATGCCTGGATAGCCATTGTTCTAGGTAGCAGAGTGGTCACAAAAAGGGCCCCAATTCTCCACCCCTTCCTGAATCCACATTCTCTACAATGTGATCCATAGCTCCTTCCATTGAGAGGTAGAGTCTGTTTCTCCACTTCCTGAATCTGGTCTGGACTTGTGACTTGCTTTGGTCAATGGAAGCTGGGGAAGTGATGTTGAGTCCTTTCTGGGCCTAGGCCTCAAAGGGCCTTGGCTACTTCTTCTTGTTCTCTTGAATGCTACCATGACCATGTGAACAAGCTCAGACTAGCTAGAGGATGAGGGACCACACTGGAGCAGAGACAAGCTTCCTACCTGAGGCCATCTTACACTAGCCACTAGCTGGTGCTCAAATATGTCAGAGAGCCCAGCCAAGATTAGCAAAGACATCTACTGACCTGTAGCTGACCATAGACACAAAAGAGATCCCAGACAATGCAGGGAGAACCACCCAGCTGATCTGTAGACTCCTGAACAATAATAAGTGCGTATTATTTTAAGCCACTGAGTTTTGGAGGGATTTGTCACACTGCGTTAGCTAACTGTACACCCAAATCCTAGGAGTTGCTCAGTTTGGCCCAACACATTATAGCGGATTCCAGTCTGATGGAGGCTTCTGCAGAAGCTCCCTCGTGGCCACAGCTAGCTCTTGCTTTGGCTTCTTCCCTGTCAGGGGGACTGCCCTGGCACTTTCTCGTCTTTTTCCTGTGTTTCTCTTTGACGAGGCTAATCTGTGTGTGCATGTGGTGTGTGTGTGCACATGTGTGGTGTGTGGTGTACACATGTGTGCACACACCTGTGAGCTCGAAGGTGCATCTCACATCTTGGCTTCGGTCTCCTCCTCTTGCTGAGGACTCCCTGAGGCCCAGGCTGTGCTTCATCCTCAGGAGACACTCCCTAGGCAGGGTCTGGGCCCCTCATTCCTTGAAAGCTGCTTCTGCCTAATGCTCAGCCTAGTTATGAGGATGCGGCTCTGTGGGG